ACTAGATTATCTTTACTTTTCACTTCGCATCCGGGAGGCTGACGCATGAAAACCTCCTTTTCTAGGACTCCGTAAAGGCAGGCGGTCTTTACGTCCAAATGTTTCACTGTCATATTACGTTTTGCCGCAACAGTCAAAAACGTTCGGAACGTCGCGTGCCGTGTAACGGGTGCGTAAACCTCCTCTAAATGTTCACCGATCCTCTGCGTATAGCCCCGAGTATACCCCTGAGCCACAATCCTGGCCGTGTGCTTCACGACCTTGCCTTCTTCATTCCGTTTCAGCTTAAAGACCCACTTTGAGTCTACTATCTTCTTTCCCTTCGGTAACGGTACAAGCTCCCAAGTGTGGTTTCGACGATGCGAATCAAGTTCGTCTCCCATCGCAGCTCGCCATTCAGCATCTTTCAATGCTTCGCGGTAGTCCACCGGCTCCTGGATAGTGCACGCTGCGACGCCTACTGCATAGTCTATAGCACGTAATCCTCCAAGTGCCGTGGTGCCACACCACGCGTTTGTCGCTGCGAGTGGCGGGTATCTTATTGCTGTGATGGTCCTTCATCCTCAGCGTCTACAAAATCATCTGCATCAGAAGAAACAGCTTCGTCCGTGATTTGCTGTCCAGCTTGCTGCGCTTCTGGTGTGGAATATGGACGTAAGCTTTTGCACCATATACCCGGAGATGTGCCATATCCGGTTTACGTCCCCACCAGTGCTCGTAAGGAGTTTGCTGGAGCGATCTTGATGGTAAGCGGTTCTGCAGGTATGTTGCAGTGAGTACAGCCTCTCCCCAGTATCGCTTTTCCATACCAGCATCAATGGGCATACAGGTAGCCATCTCTGTTATCGAACGGTTCTTTCGTTCAGCCACGCCGTTCTGCTGGGGTGAATACGGCGCTTTGAGCTGCGGTTTGATCCCTTCAGCACGATAGAAAACTTTCAACTCGTTGTTGTTTAACTCACCGCCCCCGTCGGAGCGAATCACGCGAACCTTTCTTCCAAACCGAGTCTCCGTCCATCGCACGTACTCCTTTATCAGCTCCGTCGCTTCCGATTTCTGTTTCAGCAGATAAGTTACCGTAAAGCGACTATAGTCATCGATGAGAGGCATTGTTGCAAAACGACCTCTGCAGGGACAAAAGCATTGGTCGTACCGGCTAGAGCATGAATGACTACCACAACAAAACATACGATAACATAGTGCAAGCTTTTTTTCCCTCCCATGTTACACCTAACTCCTGAGCTCCTGTTCTTCAGAATCGCCTAGCTAGTTCTTTTTTCTTCTTCTTCAATGCTTCATCTCTTCACTGGTGTACTCACTGCTACCGGAACATCCGCACATCCTCTCGTTCACAGCTCATCACCGTCGATCTTCGGACTGTGCCGACGTGGAGACACCGTGCATGCTCCACCGCGACCGGCTTCGAGGGCCTGATGACGGTTGGCGTCCACCTCAAAGCGATCGGGTTCAGATCGTCACCCGCTTACTGGCGATGTAGGTCCGCTTTCAGTTCGCACACCTTGCACGACAACGTATCGGCACGTACGGTCCAAACCGAGTTCCTTTGACGGTGCAGCGCCGACCAGGGGGCGACTCAATTTCGGACCGAGTTCACTCAGCGTTGCCGCTGTACCCTGAGCTGGTCAAACTATTATGTCGCTGATTCTTTCGTCGATTCGAGCTGGAAAATAAAAAGCCCTGAGGCAACAACTCGTTAGCCTCCATCTGTCGGCAGTGTACGCAGTGGGCAACTTACTTCGCATTGAAGGCTTTTATCTTTTGTCTTCCGAGGCTGGCCGTATCCACCCGCCGTGGCCCACTCGATCGATTGTATGTAGGAGCAGATGCTGGAGGAAGGAAAACGTGTCAGCAATGCCATAACAGTCATGAACATGGAAGTGGCTTACCGCTTTTAGTATCGAATCACGACTTTTCTTCTCCGTCCGACTTGTGGCCGCAGTGAATATCGAGTCCCGAATCCAGCAGTGGTTCACGTGTCCCAAGTTGCCTCACGTGTCTGATGTGCACGATGAATCCCGCAGACTGATGTACAAGATGGCGTCCGAGGTCACAGCGTGAGCGCTCGTCTGTGAATATAATTCACGATAATAGCGGTAATCTTTCCGTGAGGCGACGTACTCGACTTACCGTTTCTCGGCGGTTCTGGTTGATACCGATGTTGTTGCCACCAGCTGCCTACTTCCCCAAGGCAATCGTGTCGGAATCGAACGTCGCTTCAACCTGCCGACAATGGACTGTCGCTGATACTGCGCGCACCCGTCAAAAGAATCCACTCGCGACGACGGCAAATATGGGCAGTGACTGCAAATGACTTTTCGTGCCGTACTCGGTGCTCACAGTCTCCACAAACTGTCTCGATGGCCTCTTCGAAATGCCGCAGTTGCTTTTGGAGCTATTGCGATCGAATCGCGAAAGTTTTCGTGATTTTCACTACCGCGTCGGCGATGGCCGCCCGAATCAGACCACGCTTTTGCACTTTCTGCTGCTTTGCTGCTGCTTGAGGGACGGGCTTCGTTGCGACGTCATCTGCAGTTGTGTTCGTGAGTTGTTGTCGGAATTGCTATTATTCCATTCGCCCGTGCGGCGATATCCGTCAATTTGACTGGTGACGTTTGCCCATGAAGCATAATTTTAATGTGCACGATCAAGCGAAACTACTCTGATTCTGCTTAAAAAGCTTGCATCAAATAAAACGTAACAGCATAACATAGCGATTTCCGCTGGGGGTTGTAGGGGGTTGGTGGTTGTCCATATGGACGATGTCAAGGACCCGATCTGTCTTTCGCTCTGTGACAGGGGAAAACGGTAGTCTGGCCGATTTTTCTTCCATGCAACACTCACACACAAGACGTAAACCACAGTCGCTTACCTTAATGCCTGTAGCAAGGCCCTCTTTAACGACTCGTTCAGCGGCGGCCCAATCCCTGTGGCCCAACCGCCGGTGCCACTGATGCTGGCAGTTTACGTTGTGCTCACCAGTCGATGCTTTGTGGGATTCCTCGATCGTCCGCAGATAGTACAGGCCACCATATCGACAGCCAGTCGCAACGACAGCTCCTCCTGCATCCATGATTCGGCAGCCGATACTATCAAACTTCACTTCGAGTTTCTTCTCGGCTAATTTGGCCACCGAAATCAAATTGGTCGCCAGACCAGGTACAAACTTCATATCACTCACTTCGATTCTGACTGGTTCACCACGATCGTCCATTCCGCGAATCACACCACTACCCTCGCCGAGGATTTCTGTCTTTTTCCCATCGGCGAGTGTTATCCACCCACCGGCAAAACTTTTCAGTGAGTCAAAGAAGTCACGGTTGTTCGTCATGTGGGCACTTGCTCCACTGTCCACAATCCACGCGCACGAATTCATTTCGCCCCCATCGGAAAATGCCACGTTTCGTCCCTCACTTTGCACTGCCTTCGCCTTCGGATTTTCTTTTTCTCTTCTAGAGCTGTTTTCTCCCTTTTACTGAAGACTTATACCATAGAGGTAACTCTAAGACCACTGGGTCCCGAAGAAAATCATTATTATTTTTGGCTCACTCAGTACCAGAACAACGCTCCCAAGCAGTCCCAAGCTATTTCACTCACCCCTGCATGTTCTGCATGAATCCACACACCCCTGATGTTATCTGTCAAACTTTCATAGCGAATCAAAACAAACATAGTGTAGTAATAGAATTTCAACTAGAATAGGGTACGTTAATCGTTTGCTTGGGACCAATAGGCTACTAAAGTGGTGAGCCAATTTAAAATCGTTAGTTTCGTATTGATTGTTGCTTATACTTCCAGCACTCACGGCGCAAATGACCCGGCTTCTTACAAAAATGGCACACGCGGGTTTCTTTCGATTTTTCCTCTGAACGCATCGCTTTTTCCGTTTTCGAGCCGGCACTTTCGCGTTCCAAGCGACGATGGAATTCGTCCATCAACTTTGATTTGACGATGTCAACCAAAATGTCATCGCCAGCCTGATTGTCCAAAGCGGTCACGATTCCGTCAAATGATGGAGGTAAACTTCGCAAAATCATGCAGATTTTCGTGTCTCTAGCGGATGTGATTGTGAATATCAGCGGAGGGTAATCATCGTTCTCCACAGCTACTACTGGATTGTACTAGCATTTTCACTAAATGTACTAGAATGTTTTGGTTCTGTCTCTTTCACCAACAATCAATATGAAACTATCGATTTCATATTGGCTCACTATTTGACTAGCCTATTGGTCCCAAGCAAACGATTAACGTACCCCATTCTAGTTGAAATTCTAGTACACCACAATGTTTGTTTTGATTCGCTATGAAAGTTTGACAGATAAAATGAGGGGTTAGTGGATTTTCCTATGTTTCGAGGGGTGAATTGATTAGCTTGGGACCGAACATAATACCAGAGCTGAGCCAAAAAGTTGACCTACTAGTCTTAAGGTCCACGCACATTAGATCCGGATCGGACGCGTTGCGGCAAAGTGACAGCTAAATGTATTGTCTAATTGTCAAATTTACGTCAACGCAACGCAAACGGGTCTAATGTGGCTGCCCCTTTAGAGTTACCTCTATGCTTTCACCCTACTCAAAACAGAAATGCATAAAAAAAATGACAAAATTATACATTCTTCGCACATACTGTCAAAGATCTTTGCACACAAAATCAACTTTGTTCAAATTAAAACAAAAATACTAGCCCATCTGGTGACTGATAGCACAAGCTTATAAGAAAATTATATTACAGCGAACCACATTACTCGCCACATTATTTTATTTTATTTTATCGCCAGTTAGTCGTCTGTCACTTCGTCCCGAGTAGCACATTTCCGTCAAGATAAGTTGCAGCAACTTGTTTATGACTGATATAGGTTGTATAGAAGTTTCCACAAACGATTTGTGACAAGCGTGCTACTAGGGGTTTGTGGTGTTACCATAGAGGTGTTACCGTGTTACCTATGCGCTCAAACTACCTTTTCCCTCCATTCCATTCGCAGACTCCGAGCTCGACTACCGGGAACAATTTCCGGACCTTCGCCCGCTACTGCAGCGCCAATTCCGAGGCATCTGGACCCGCGAGAATGCCCTCCGACGCTTCCCGTTTCTCGTGTGGAGTCCACAGTACAACCTCAGGAAGTTCGCCTCGGATGCGATAGCCGGCATAACGGTCGGCCTAACGTCGATCCCGCAGAGCATTGCGTACGCTGTAGTAGCCAATCTGGAGCCCCAGTATGGGCTGTATTCGAACTTTATGGGATCGTTCGTGTACGCCTTCTTCGGAAGTGTCAAGGAAATCACGATCGCTCCAACCGCCATCATGGCTCTGATGGTTCAGCACATTGTACTGGAGCTGGGACCGGCCGGGGCAGTGCTGTCCTCATTTGTGTCCGGATGTATTGCTCTGCTGTTGGGATTGCTCAACTTTGGATTCGTAGTTCAGTTCATATCGATGCCAGTCATCACCGGGTTCATTACGGCGGCCGCGCTCACCATCATGAGCAGTCAGATGAAGTCGCTGATGGGAATTTCCAGTGCCGGGCGATCTAGTGGGTTCCTCGACTCATGGACGAATGTTGTCGAGAATGCTGGACAGACGCGGCTGTGGGACGCCATGCTGGGGTTCGGGTCGTTGGCGATTTTGATTTTTCTGACCGTAAGTTCGATGTAAGATATTTTTTCCGCAGTGGAATTTTTGAAAACTTTGTCACATTCTAGCTCATCAAAGGTCGAGGATCCGGTCGGTGGCGAACTGCCACAAAATACCTATGTCTCCTGCGAAACGCCCTGATCGTCATCAGTGGAGGCACCCTAGCGTTCGCGTTTGCCTGTCAAGATCAGTACCCATTCCGGTTAACTGGAAAAGTAGCTTCCGGGTTCCCGCCAATCGAGCCACCTCCATTCTCAACCACATTCAAAGACGAATTCTACGACTTTCCTCGAATGCTTCGAATCCTCGGATCATCGGTGATCACCATTCCGCTGATTTCGATCCTGGAGGTCGTCTCAATTGGGAAGGCCTTCTCCAAAGGTAATCCCGTTGATGCTACTCAGGAAATGATCGCCCTGGGGTTGTGCAACGTAGCCGGATCGTTTACTGCATCCATTCCGACGACGGCGTCATTTGCGAGGACCGCGATCAACAGCAGTTCTGGAGTGAAGACCCCGTTCGGTGGGGTGTTTACGGGGTTGTTGGTCCTCTCGGCATTGGGACTGCTAACGGAGTACTTCTACTTCATACCGAAAGCGACACTGGCAGCGGTGATTATCGCTGCGATGGTGTTCATGATCGAGTACCGGGCCGTTGCGGAAATGTGGCGAATCAAGCGAATCGATATCGTTCCGTTTCTGGTGACGGTGGTAGCTTGCCTGTTCATTGGACTGGAGTATGGTATTCTCATCGGAATCTGTGTGAATCTGTGCTTCCTTTTGTACCTGATATCCAGACCGAGGATTGAACATCGGGTTATGAAGGTATACTGCAAACGTTGAACGAATTCGAAACCTGTAACTCATACGAGCTTCTTCTTGTAGATCAATCACGTGAACGCACTGGTGCTGAGACCGACAAACGATCTGGCCTTCTCATCGGCGGAGTACTTCCGGGAAAAGATCCTCAGCATGGCCGGCAATCACGAAGCGAACGTGGTGGTGATCGATGGCGAAATGATCAAGTACATCGATTCGACGGTGGTGAAGAATATCTCCAGCACGGTGGACGAGCTACGACTGCAAGGAAGGCACGTGCTGCTGTGGCGGTGGAACCGGGAAGTGCAGTGTTCTTTGTATAGGTACAAAAAGGATCAATTTTTGCCACTTTTCAGGGCTGACGATAATGTCGAGGAAGTGGTTCAAAAGTGGAAAGGGGCTACTTTTGGCGAAGGTTGTGTGTGAGAAACTTAATAAACAATGTGATATTAGCGAATGATATTGATTGCAATAGGAAATAAAATTGAGCAAATCTCGAACTTAACGTGCATTTTTTTTTTTGTAAAATAGTAGCAATCCACTTACTTCAAAATTTGTCGCATTATTTTGTTTCTATACACCTTCCATTTTTACTAACTATAACCGAAGACAACAAATCAAGAAGACTGGCAACTCTTTCATTTTCTCATACGAACGCTATGAGACAGGTACAATCACGCCATCTGCCGCTCAAAGGTAACTGCTTCGAACGAATTTGATAGCAAAGATTACATCCTTGATATGATGTCTTCGCTATAACAGTAATTCAAATGGATTTCATTTTATTTTAGAGATATTAAATGTTTCCGTGTAAATACCGCCCAGCCCTGTCGATCACATCTGCATCGACGAACCCCTTGCGGAACTGTCAAACTGCGCGCCTCCTTCTATCAAAATCTTTCAGCAAAATAATCGTTGTCATCATTTTGAAGTACTGTACAAAGCACCGAAGAGAAAAGACGCATTAAAAGTTGAGTGAAGTCGAATTTGTATTTCGGTCCGTTTTAAAGTTTTCTTTTGATTCGAATTGCCTGTGTTTCTTGCCGGTCCAGTCCAAGGTTCAAACATTGGTCCTTCTTCGTCTGATATAGTGAATCGCGATGGAAAAGTTAGTGAAAATTCGCAACGCACAAATGGTGCAATTGGTCGGGGAGCTGACAGCAGCCGGGAAACTCACTGGGCGGAAGGCTTCCTACAGCGAGGCAACGGAACGGCTCGACCAGCTCAAGGAACTTGCTGGAAATTTTTGGAAAACAAACAAGCATCGAGGAGCTCCTTGACGACCCGGAAACAGTTGCCTCGGTGCACAATTTTCGTGAAGAATGGATCATTTTTGATGGCTGAGTTTTGAACCCACCACAGCTTGCATTTGGCGCTACTGTATACGGACGATCCAATGTAAAATACTGTGGTAGCCACAGTACGGTGCTGTCAAAACCTCAGCATCTTCAATGATCCATTTAACGGTGCCTACTTCAAGGCGAAAGACATCCTCGAGATATACAACGCGGACAACAAGCCGGATGATGTAAGTTCCACATCCAGTGGCAAAACGATCGTCGGCAGCGACCTCCGAGAGGCGATGAAAATGCTACTCATCACTCAACGCGCCTTGCTGGAAGGGCAGCGGGTGCTGGCAAGCTCCGCGAACAACAACTAACCAAACTTCGATCCAGCAGCGGGGGATGTGGTGTCGAATCGTTTACCCTTTCTGAATGTGCGGCTTCCATCGATCAACCTGCCGATGTTCAGTGGTGATCGGAAGAGCTGGAGGTCATTCAAGGACATTTTTAAATCGACCATTCACGACCGGAACGATCTGAAGGATTCTATCAACAATCAATACGAAACTAACGATTTTAAATTGGCTCACCACTTTAGTAGCCTATTGGTCCCAAGCAAACGATTAACGTACCCTATTCTAGTTGAAATTCTATTACTACACTATGTTTGTTTTGATTCGATATGAAAGCTTGACAGATAGCATCAGGGGTGTGTGGATTCATGCAGAACATGCAGGGGTGAGTGAAATAGCTTGGGACTGCTTGGGACCGTTGTTCTGGTACTGAGTGAGCCAAAAATAATAATGATTTTCTTCGGGACCCAGTGGTCTTAGAGTTACCTCTATGGAGTTACCTCTATAATTCTATCAAGATGCAATATCTTGTGTCCTACCTCGACGGCAGTGCGAAGCAGCTGGTAAGTTTGTTCCCGATTTCCGATGCGAACTACCACCAGGATGCGTGGGAGGCGCTCACGAACCACTACGATAAGAAAAAATATACTCTTATTCGTGAGTTCGTGGACCAGCCAGCGGTGTCCACCGCCACATCCGGAATCCTACGCAAGCTCGTCACTACTTCTGATGAGGTGGTGCGACAATTGAACGCGCTTGGTGAGGAATATGGCACACGGGATCCGTGGCTTATCTACTTCCTACTGGAAAAGCTGGATAAGCAAAGCCGATCAATGTGGGCGCAGCAAATCATCGAAGAAAACAACTATTCCTTCGACGATTTCATCTAGTTCCTGGACAACCGATGCGATGCGCTGGAAACTTGCACAGCGTTTACGAAGAAGATAACAACGGAAGCAGTCAAGAAGGAGCCGTCGAAGAAACTAGCAAGTGAGAAGAGGATGCAGTCGCTGCACACAGCTGCAGTAGGAGAAAAGTGCGCGAAATGCTCCAATGAGCATCCGTTATTTCAGTGCAGTGAATTCAAAGAGATGAACATTCAGTGCAGGCGCGAACTAGTGAAGAACGCGAGATTGTGCTTTAATTGTCTTAGGGCATCGCACACCGCGAAGTTTTGTAGTTCTAAATCAGTGTGCCGGAATGAAAACTGTAAGCAGCGGCATCACACACTGCTATGTGAACTGAAAAGTGAAGATGGAAAAAAGAAACCAGTGGAAAACAGTGATTCATACCAGCAACAAGTGGGTGAAGCGGCCATCACCTCAATGGTGGTGCAGGTACCGCTGGAGCCACAGCAGAAGTCGGTCGTGCTATCTACTGCTGTCATTCGACGGCGGTCTTCTGCAAGTGCGTGCTCTGATCGACTCGGACTCTGAAGCATCATTGATCTCGGAAGTCTGCGTCAAGAAGCTCGGTCTGTCTCGCCCCAACGGAAATGTAACGGTTTCCGGCCTGGGACAACAGGCAGCCGGAACAACGCGTGGCTTTGTAAAGCTGGTGATGGCTAACCGGTTTACCGACGTGTGTGTTTTGCAAACAAGTGTCAACGTTCTGGGGAAGCTCACCTCGACGCTTCCTACACAGCACTGCAGGGTTCATTCAAGCCTCCTGGATAAGCAGATAAAGGAGAACCTCGCTGATCCGGCATACTATCAGCCGGGTCCGATCGATATCATTTTGGGATCTGACGTCTTTCTTGCTCTCCTCAAGCCAGGGCAAGTCAAAAACAACGGTGGTGTTCCTGTGGCACAGAACACGATCTTCGGGTGGATTGTGTCCGAGAATCAAGCCATCTACTCATCGAGTCTTCGAAGCAACGTCTCGATCGTCAATCTTCACACAGAGCTGGACCTCAACCGCACTTTGCCGATGTTTTGGGAGCAGGAGGAGGTTACGAAGCCACAGCAGCTTACTCCTTCTGGAACAAGCAGCCACCGAGCTCTTTAGCTCTACTCTTACACGGGATGAAAATGGGCGCTTCATCGTGCGACTGCTGTTCGATGATTCGAAGCCAGCGCTGGGTGAGTCCCTCACTTCGGCCATTAAGCGATTGCGATCGATGGAAAGACGTTTCCGACAGGATGAGGAATTCCATTCGCTGTACTCGGAGTTCCTCAGCGAATACCTGGCGCAGGGGCACATGGAAGAGGTGCCACCAGACGAACTGGAAGTAGAGACTAGCAAGTGTTTCTACCTTCCACACCATGCCGTCGTCAAGGCCGAAAGCACGACGACTAAGTTGCGGGTGGTCTTCGACGCCTCGTGCGCGTCGTCGACTGGCGTTTCGCTCAACGACAGACTCCTGGCGGAACCCAACGTCAACCAGGATCTTTTCTCGGTGTTTCTACGTTTCCTAACCCATCCGGTAGCGTTTTCAACGGACGTAGAGAAAATGTATCGCCAGGTGATGGTTCACGCGGCGGATCGCGACTACCTGAGGATCGTGTTTCGTGAATCGGAGGATCAACCAATCAAAAATTATCGGTTGTGCACCGTGACTTACGAAACCAAGTGCGCTCCGTACTTAGCGATCGAAGCCATGAAGCAAGTAGCCCGCGAGTACAATCAAGTGTATCCCGAAGCAACGCAGAGGATTGAGCTCGACACCTACGTCGACGATTTTCTGTTTGGCGCGCAGACCGTTCAGCAAGCGAGGAAATTCAAGGAGCAAGTTGTGGAGATTTTGGAGTCCGCTGGTTTCCACCTGCGGAAATGGACCACTAACTGTTCGGAACTACTCCAGGAAGCACCTGAGGACGATCAAGCGCCGGTCGATGTGAAACTAGCAGAGCAACAAGACGCAGTTAAGGCACTCGGCATTCAGTGGTTACCCAAGGAGGACACATTCTCGTTCAAGGTCAGCTTGAACCCGAAAAGCGTGAACACCAAACGGTTCTTTCTGATTCCTGCAAGCTATTCGATCCGTTCGGATGGCTCTCACCTGTAACCGTCAGAGTCAAGATTTTGTTCCAGCAACTTTGGCTTACTGATCTCGCGTGGGACGATTGACTGCCTCCAGCAGTCGAACCAGCGTGACTTGAAATCAAGGAAACTCTACATCAAGTGGAGCAGATACGCATCCCTCGATTAGCACCCAACTACAATGGGAAGATCGAATTGCATGGATTCGCGGATGCGCCGGAGATGGCGTACGCTGCGGTAGTGTATGCTAGAGGAAGGAACGAAGCTGGCGACATAGTCGTGAATCTCCTGGTCGCTAAAACCAGGGTGGCTCCGATCAAGCAAGTGTCGCTACCAAGGTTAGAGCTCAACGCAGCGGCTCTACTATCAACACTGATGGAATCAACAATTCAAGCGCTCAGCCACCTCGAAGTGGATCCTTGGGCCTACACGGACATCAGCATTGTGCTCCAATGGTTGTCCACTCATCCTCGCAAATGGAAGTCTTATGTAGCCAACCGTACACCTGCAATTCTAGAAGTGCTGCCGCGTGACCGCTGCAATCATGTGCGAAGCGAGAACAATCCTGCCGACTGTGCCTAACGAGATCTCACACCTAGTGAACTTGTGACGCACCCGCTCTGGTGGCATGGGCCAGGCGAACTGAAAACGGAAGCTGAGCACTGGAAGCAAGTACCTGTCGAAGCAACCGAAGATGAAGAGGTACTCGAGTCCCGTCGGTTGAATGTTCTACACGCCGCAGCGATGGCTATCCGAACCAACTACGACATCGAGAATGGTCTACTAGAACGACGATCCAACTACACCCTCATCGTGCGCACGCTGGCATATGTGAACCGAATCTTGTTGGCACTCAAGGCGGAGGACGTGAACCTCGAACCCGGACTTTCGCCGAACGAAATCTACGATGCCAAGCAAGAACTGTTGCAGAAGGGTAAGGATTTGCCAGCCAAACACAAACTGTCTGCCCTTCACCCCTTCCTGGATAGCCAAGGAACGATGCGAGTGGGAGGACGATTGCAGAATTCGTCTTACTCATACGACGTTAAGCACCCAATTATACTCCCGGGGAATAACAAGGTAACCGAATTGCTGTTGCGAGATCTTCATCTGCGAAACCTCCATGCAGGTCCCACACTGCTCACAGCTACAGTCAACCAACAATACTGGGTGCTCGGACTTCAGACGGCTGTCCGCTTAACAGTTCAAGGATGCACGCGTTGCGTTCGACTCAATGGTAAGACGGCGTCGCAGCTCATGGGCAGCTTACCGGTGTCTCGGGTGATGGGCACTCGAGCATTCACCCATGTCGGCGTGGATTACGCCGGCCCTCTGAAGGTTCATGCGTCATGCGTTCGAGGTGTAAAGATGACCAAGGGCTATATCGTAGTATTCGTATGTATGGCGACCAAGGCGGTGCACTTGGAGGTCGCCAGTGACCTCTCGACCAACATGTTCATTTGTGCTCTGAAGCGATTTATTTCACGGAGGTCTCATCCTAACGAGATTTGGTCGGATTGTGGCACAAACTTCGTTGGGACCGACCGTTGGCTGAAGGAGATTCAAACTGCGCGACAGATCCACAACGATGCTGCTTGTCGATTTCTCACCAACTATGGAATTAAGTGGGTGTTCAATCCACCTTCAGCGCCACACCGTGGTGGTATCTGGGAGGCGGCAGTCAAGAGCGCCAAGAAGCACCTGATGGCAGTCTTGGGCTCCGAAGCAGCAACGTTTGAAGAACACTCAACGGTATTGGCGCAGGTGGAAGCGTGCCTGAACTCCCGGCCGCTATGTCCACTTTCATCAAATCCTGACAGCTACGAAGCACTGACCCCAGGACATTTCCTGGTCGGTCAGTCGATGAATCTCATCCCAGAGCCTGATGTCCGTCACATCCCATAAGTGGCAAGTGGCAACTTCTACACAAGCACATAACTGAAATCTGGCGTCGTTGGCGAGACGAATATCTTGCTAGTCTGCAACCGCGGAGCAAGTGGCGAACAACCGAGACTAACCTGGAGAAGGATCAGCTTGTGCTGATCAAGAACGATAACGCGCCGCCGGCTCAGTGGAAGTTGACCCGTATCGTATGTGGGCGGACAGGGGGCAAAACACCGGTAAATGCAGTGAAAAACGGATATGTAACGCGAAATTAAAAACGTATAAATCGCGAGAACTGTTTAGAAACGTGTTTATTAATCAACGATCAAAGAAAGAACATTTTTGTTTGAACAAAATTAACTGCGATTCTTTTTCTCTGCATGTACATTCGTAAAGGGCGTATTCACGCTATTGCCGCTACACTGCAACACTCCTCCTCGTGAAGTAGCCCAGTCTCCTCATCCTCCGTGTTTCACTACTGGCGCCAAAGACATCGCTGCTGCAAACTTCCCGATCTTGATCGGTCCGAGAGGTTTGGTCAGAATGTCAGCGATCATCTCTTCAGACGGACAGAACCGAAGTTCTATCCCCCCCGACGTACATCTCTCCTTGGTGTAGTGGAAGCGAGTGTCGATATGTTTCGACCTGCGCTTCTGCTGATCGAGTGCTACGAAATCCATACATCCTTTGTTGTCCTCGTGAATAACGGTTGCATGAACTTGCTTCAAGTTTAGCTCACCCAACAATCGTCGCAGCCATACAGCTTGTTGCGTGGCCTCCGATAGCGCCACGTACTCCGCCTCCATGGTGGAAGTTGTTACGTTGCTCTGCTTACGGCTGGTCCAGCTGATAGTGGCTCCTCCTAGGCGAAACAAGTAACCGCTGCACGACTTGCGATCGCTCGTATCGCCGGCCCAATCGGCGTCGCAGAAACCTTCCAAAGTCTGCTCTTCGGCTTCAGTTCCTCCGCCAAGCTTCAGACCGTAATCCATTGTGTGAATCAAATACCGGACGATCCGTTTGGCCTCGTTCCAATCGAGCTCCGTCGGGCTGCTCACCTTCCGACTGAGAATTCCCACGCTAGCCGCAATATCCGGACGGGTATTCGATGCTAGATACAACAGTGATCCTATCAGCTTGTGGTACTGAATGTTGTCCTTGAGGTTTCGACTCTCTTTCATGACTTTGAAGTACCCAGGGTCGAGTGGATACTTCGAACCTTTTGCTCCTTCCATTCCGAATCGCTTCACCAGCTTCCTTATGAAAACACTTTGATCCAGAATGAAGAATCCATCGGCGTTCCTCGTGACGCGTATTCCGAGAAAACAGTGGATGTCTCCCAGCTTGGAAATGCTCAGCTTCTCTTGCAGCGAATCTTCGATCTTCGTGATCTCCTCCTGATGCGCACACGTAACCAAAATATCACGATCAAAAGATACAGCCAATCATCGCCGACAAGGCGTTTCCGGTACAAGCACGTGTCCGCCTTGCATTGTTCGAAACCCAAGCTCATTAAAATATCGGTTATTGTCATATGCCAAACCCTGGCCGCTTGTTTGAGGCCGTAAATACTTTTATGCAACCTACAAACCTGATGCTCTCTTCCTTTGACGACAAACCCTGGTGGCTGTCTCATGTAGATTTCTTCTCGCAACGTGCCGTATAAATAGGCCGTTTTAACGTCCAGATGTTTGACGGATCAGCCACGCTGGCCCGCGACAGCCAGAAGTACGCGGAAAGTACACTGCTGCGCCACTGGAGCGAAGATCTCGTCGTAATCTGAACCAAAACGCTGGGAAAATCCCTGAGCGACGAGTCTCGCTTTGAAACTGTCCACGTTGCCGTCAAAGTCAAGCTTCCGCTTGTAAACCCACTTGCTTCCTATGATGTTTCGCTTCTCTGGGGGGTCCACAAGCCCCCAAGTTTCGTTGGACATCAACGAACGATACTCCTCCGTCATCGCATTGATCCACTCCTGCTTATCGACACCGTTGACCGCTTCCTTGAAAGTCACCGGTTCATCCGGTTCCGTCGCTACCATTCCCATCACGTAGTCACTGAACCTCGCTGGCAACGCTCCACGGGATGAACGTGGCGGCATTTGTCTTGGCTCCGGTTGAGGAACATCTTCTTGCTCGGTATCACCTTCTTCGTAGTCGCTTTGTTCTTCACCGTAAAATTCTTCCTCGGCAGATTCGTACCCCAGGAAATCTTCTTCGTTATCTTCAGGATTGTTTACAACTTTCGGCTTCGGCAACGGGTCCAATTCAACCGTCGAATTATCCGTTTCAGATTCCTGCTCGGGCTTTCCCGATGCCTGCTTCGCACCAAAATCTAGATCTTCCAAGAAACGAACGTCCCGGCTTATCGTTATCCTTCCGCTGTCCTTATCGAGAAAACGGTAAGCTCTCTGTTGATTGGAGTATCCGACGAAAACCATCTTGCGGGCTTTTACCTCCATCTTCTTCCGCGTTTCCGCTGGAATCTGCACCCAGGCTTCACTTCCGAAGATTCGCAGATGTTCGAATGAAGGCTTACGACCGTACCATCGTTCGTAGGGACTCATACCAATCGATCGTGATGGCAATCGATTTTGAATATGGGTGGCGGTCAACACTGCCTCGCCCCAGTATTTCATCTCCAAGCCGGCTTCCAATAACATGCACATCGTCATTTCTTTGAGATAGCGATTCCATCTCTCCGCCACCCCATTCTGCTGCGGGGAGTACGGAGCAGTCAGCTGGCTGATTATCCCTTCGCTTCTCAGGAATCCCTGCAGTTCCTTCGCGACATATTCTCCGCCGCCGTCTGACTGCAGCACACGAGGAGTTTTCCCGACTTGAGTTTTGCAGAAACGAACGAAATCCTTCACCTTCTCAGCGACCTCCGATTTTCTCCGCAACAGGTACACGAAGGCCATGCGAGAATGATCGTCGATGAAGGTCAGGAAGTATTGATTGCCGCTGGGAGTAGCAACCAATGGACCACTGACGTCACTATGGATGACATCCAAAATCTCCTTCGAACCACGGTTGACAGCCTTTGGAAACGGGGTCCGGGACATTTTCCCCTCCAAACAGCACTGGCACACCGATCGCACTCCACAATCGACCAACTTCATACCTTCAGCTGTGCCGTTCCTGTGGATTGCCTTGATCACGTCCGGGTCCCGATGGCCGAGCCGTCGGTGCCACGTATGCTGGCAGTTGAGCGTGTGGGACAGCTGGACGCTCACCATCGCTTGATTGGGAACCCGTAACTTGTAGAGACTACCGCAACGATCGGCCACAACCGCAATGTCGGCACCGGTTTTGCGGATCTCACAGCCGTTTTCACCAAACAGCACACAGAAGCAGTTATTTGCGAGGGTACTCACCGAAATCAATCCACTTGCTAATTTCGGAACATACAGCACGTCAGACAACACAATATCCACCGGACATCCGTCTACCTTCACTCCGGTAATCTTCCCGCTGCCTATGCCTTCGACGGCTGCCTTTTCACCGTTCGCCAGCATCACGCTCATTCCCTGCTGCTCCTGTAGAGATTCGAAGAAACTTCTTCTTCCCGTCATGTGCTTCGAGGCTCCGCTGTCCACAAACCAGCTTCCATGTTCTGCATTCCCAGCAATCCAAGCAAGCGGGCCGTCGAAAACGTTTTGCACCTGCTTCGCCTTTGTTGCGTCTTCCCTCTTCGGCTGGCTCGCTGTAGCTTCATCCTGCTTCTTCCCGGTGGCTTTCTGCAGACTCCGACAGTTTCGTTTCAGATGACCAGGTTTCTTGCAGTGGAAGCAAATCCGTGTCTCTTGACTTCCACTAGCACCGCCATCGCTCCGTTGCTGCCGACGAGACTGGTGACGATATTCCTCCTGCAGCAGCAGCTGGTCCGGAACGTTCGCGTCGTTTCTCGGCTTCGGAAAGTAGTTTGGATTTAACTAATTCCAAAGTTAGCTCGGCACTAGGACGTTGCTCGAGAGCTGTCACTAAAGCATCGAACGAATCCGGCAATGAACAAAGCAACATCGCCACCTTCAACTTGTCCGGGATTGGATCGCCGACATCCGCAATACGCTGCAACAGGTCGGTAAACTGCTGCAAGTGTTGCTCCATGTCTCCATCTTCGCTCAGCTCCAAATGCGTCAGCTTCTTGAGCAAGTACACCTCCGATCCCTTGTCGTGGTAATCCTTAAGGGCTTTCCATGCATCCTTGGCACTGGTGCAGCTTCTCACAAAGCTAGTCTGGCTGTCATCTATGCACAGCCCAATCGTCGCGCGAGCCTTCAAATCCGCCTTGGTCCAATCATCGTCTGACGTGCCATAAATCCTCCCGAACCAACAACATTTCCATCCGAAATTTCCAGGATTGGTAGTTGTGGTTCGTAAGCTTCGGGAGCGGGAAACGCTGCTGGTCCGCCATCTTCCTTTCTCCTCATCTGCTCACGGGAACACCGCCTTCTGGCTACGGGAACTACCGGAAAGTTTCGCGATTTTACGACCGAATTTCAACTAATCCGCGGAACTTTCACTGGGCCCATAACCTGTGGGCGGACAGGGGGCAAAACACCGGTAAATGCAGTGAAAAACGGATATGTAACGCGGAATTAAAAACGTATAAATCGCGAGAACTGTTTAGAAACGTGTTTATTAATCAACGATCAAAGAAAGAACATTTTTGTTTGAACAAAATTAACTGCGATTCTTTTTCTCTGCATGTACATTCGTAAAGGGCGTATTCACGCTATTGCCGCTACACTGCAACATCGTAGAGCTGCACCCGGACTCGATGGGAGTCATCCGGACGGTCACCTTGCGGCGTGGGCAAGCAGAGTACTCACGTCCCATCCAGAAGATTTGCGTTCTACCAACGGATTGAGGCAACAGTGCCTCAAGGCGGGGGTGGATGTTTCCGTGTAAATACAGCCCAGCCCTGTCGACCACACCTGCGTCGACGAACCCCTTGCGCAACTGTCAAACTGCGCGCCTCCTTCTATCGAAATCTTTCAGCAAAAGAATCGTTGTCATCATTTTGAAGTACAAAGCACCGAAGAGAACAGACGCAATAATAGTTGAGTGAAGTCGAATTTGTATTTCGGTCCGTTTTTAAGTTTTCTTTTGATTCGAATTGCCTGTGTTTCTTGCCGGTCCAGTCCAAGGTTCAAACACAAATATTATTTGTATCCATCGTCAAGCACAATAGAAGTCATGAACTCATAAGGCCTGCGGACTTACCTCATAAGACCGCATACAGTGTCCACTAAAGGCCCTCGCACATTAGAACCGAATTGAACGCGTTGCGCCAAAGTGACAGCTAAATCTATTGTCTAACTGTCAAATTTACATCAAAGCAACGCAAACGGATCTAATGTGGGTGGCCCCTAACAAAACTTTATATGGCGCTACAAAATTACGAGCAAATTTACTCATATTATTTTAAACTACTTAGTGAAATACAACAATAATTAATGATCAACTTCACCCCGTTTTACGGCACCTATCTACTTAGTAGATAGAAGGCAGAAGAGCATATAGCGATGTTTGAACCACCTCTCTCTCTCGAATCCATTTTCAACTCTTTCATTTTCTCTGAGAGGCAAGTTTTGAGTCGATCTCGTCGATTCATTGATAGATAGAACGATAGAAGTTGGTAGTTGGCGTGGGTAGGATAGATTTAGCCTATAGGCCCTATATAGTTCTCGCTCTCACTCACTGATGCACCCACTATCAGTCGCATTGCCGCGCTCGAATCAGCAGCAAGTCGAATAATATAATTCCGTGCTATATCTGTTCCTCCGACAGACTTCTGTCGCACCGCAGTTTTACATTGTCCGCAGTGGATGAGCGTTATCAGCAATTTTCTTGCTTATTCTGGATTTACCATGTGAAAGCAAATTTCAATTCAGGTCAAAATAAACACTTTTGGCGACGATGATTTCCAACGCAGGTCAAAGTCAACCGGAACTGAGTGGTTGGTAATTTGAAATATTGAATTAAACAGAAGTAGTGAGTGATCTTTATTTTTGTGTGCTATCGTAGATGCATCCGAACCGGACTATCGGGAACGAATCCCGAACGTGTACTCGGTTATGGTACCGCAGATGCGAACAATCTGTACCCCATCGACACTTCGGAGGCGTATCCATGTGCTCGAGTGGCTACCGAAGTATCGAGCCAGGTATTTGCTGTCGGACGTCATCGCCGGCGTCACGGTAACACTGACGGCCATCCCCCAGAGCATAGCCTACGGGATTTTGGCGAATCTGACTCCTCAGGACGGAATCTACTCCAACTTGGTGGGATGCTTCATGTATTTTATGTTCGGCAGTGTCAAGGATGTGACGGTGGCGCCGACCTCGATCATGGCGATCATGATCCAAGGGGTGGTTACGAAGCTTGGCCCAGGAGCGGCCCTGTTGACACTGATGGCCGGTGCAATAACTTTCCTGTTCGGGCTGCTCAATTTGGGCTTTCTGGTGCGGTTCATATCGGTGCCGGTGATCACTGGTTTTACGACGGCAGCCTGTCTGACGATTGGTAGCGCTCAGCTGCGGTCGCTGTTCGGGATCAGTAGCGCCGGGAAGGGCAGCGATTTCATAGACGCATGGGAGAACGTGATCGAGCATATTGGCGAGACGAGACTGTGGGATGCAGTGCTAGGGTTCAGCTCGATCGCGTTTCTCGTCATTTTGAGGGTAGGTAGCGGGATTTTGGTTAGGGGTTGTGAATCGTTTTGCTAACAATGTCATTCATTTCAGCTAACCAAAGATTGCGGTCAAGGCCGGTGGAAGACATTATTTAAATACCTTGCATTGCTTCGCAATGCTATGATCGTCGTCATCGGTGCGTCGCTAGCCTACGGGTTCTCCCTCAACGGGGTACAACCATTCAAATTGACCGGTCACGTGGAAGCAGGTCTTCCACCGTTTCACGTCCCCCCACTGTCGATCACTAACAACGGAACTTACTACTCCTTCTCGGATATGGTTTCTGTAATGCGAACCTCGATCATCACGATTCCTATGGTCTCCATTCTGGAGATCATTTCCATTGGGAAGGCCTTCTCGAAGGACAAGATCGTCGATGCCACGCAGGAAATGCTTGCTCTCGGGATGTGCAATATGGCGGTTGCGTTCTTTTCGCCCCTGCCCGTAGCGGGATCATTCACGCGAACCGCGATCAACAACAGTAGCGGAGTTAAGACTTCACTGGGATGCGCCGTAACGACCGCCATGCTTCTGTTGGCATTGGCGGTCCTGACGGATGCGTTCTACTACATCCCCAAAGCCACGCTCGCTTCGGTCGTGATCTCGGCCATGATCTTCATGGTGGACTACCGAGGAATGGCTGAGATCTGGCGGGTCAAAAAGCTGGACATGGTACCGTTCCTAGGGACAGTGATTGCCTGCATCTTCCTCGGGTTGGATTACGGTATTCTGATTGGAATCGCGATCAACTGCTGTATCCTGCTGTACCTCATATCGGTACCCAAGATCGAAGTGCATATGGCTCTGGTTGAGGATGTGCGGGTGCTTACGGTGCAACCGGCCATGGATTTGACGTTCTCTTCGGCGGAATACCTTCGAGATCGAGTGATACGGGCGGTCGTTGAGGCGTTCGAAAATCCCATAGATCTGGTCGTTCTGGATGGGAGTACGGTGAACTTTGTCGATACGACCGTGGTGAAGAACCTGGCCAGCGTGGAGAACGACCTGCGCTCAAGAGAGGTGGGACTAGTGCTGTGGCGGTGGAGTAGGAACACTGCCGGTGGATTGGTACGACTGAAGGATGGATTCCGGGTTTTGCTGAGTGATGAAGCGGATCTACGGGATGCTGTGCATCAGTGGAGGGCATCCTCCGAGGGTTATCTGAAGGACGCATCTGAATAATAAACCTTGAATTGTGTCAAATTGGCATGATGTGTATCTTTATTACTCCCTCAGTAACAGCGAAGTGTGCGAAATAATGGACATGATAAGCTTCCATGTCAGAAGTTTTGAATGTACAAGTCAACCCTAGATAATGGAATAACAAAAAAATGCACGTCATGCCCTTGAAGGTGCATAATTTACACACATCAGAAGGTATACTGGCAAAGATCGTGTCGTCAATGACTCGAAATAGTCACAATTCTTCTTATCCGCTTTGATTGAAGGGCTTTAATAGAACGACCAATTTCTTCTGTCAGAAATGCCGTCATTACCCAGGTCAACTCCTGTGAAACGAGCTGTGGGTTTGTGTAGAAATTAACTCAGTTTGATTTGATTGCTTGCTCAGGGAAAATGGCGAGTGGCGGGTATCAAAATAAGTTCAGCATGTTTCTTACAAACGCCAGTTGGGACGTTTGTTTTTGTTTAACCTGATCGCACTCGCAAAAAAAAACTGGAATTGGAACTGATGATTGATCGAGAATAATAAACCTAATAAACAAATTCACTATAATTTCAAACTTGGATTGTTGCCGAGACTGACCAGTCATTCTGCAAAGACAAATCCAAAGGGGAAAAAAATACCTGGATTGTTTATTTCGCTCGATATATTTATTTACATTCATCATGATCAAAACAAATCAAAACTCCAAACTCACCACTGTGAAAAAAATCACCTCAACTTTGACAGTAATTGTCAGTCACTTACTCGAGGTGAAAATGGTGCTGATGTAGGTAGAAACATTAACGATTTAGGTGTAAACAATATCCGTCTAGGTACAGAAATTTTCTCAGATTTTTGTGAATTGTACAGTATATCCGTTCGTTTTCCGCCCCGAACGAAGTGCTAAGCCGAACCGACCATGGAAGCGGAGTCACAGCAGCAGGAATCTGCTTCAGCAGGCGATTTTCATGACGACGTGTAAGTACTTTGCGTTTTGTTTACCTTCCGTCGTGTCCCCTCACAACGAAAACAACACTCCCTATTTCAGCCCCAACGACAACTCGGAGTCGTACTGTCGGCTGTGTCTCTCGGAGGAGAATGTCGTCGCACTGTTCCCGCCGGATGGAGGCTACATCCGGGAACTGACGGAGAAGATTCGCACCTGTGCGGGTGTCAAAATATCGATCCGAGATGACTATCCGGCCGGAATCTGTCAGTCATGTGTGGCTTTCCTGGACGAGGTGTACCAGTTCCAGAAGCGGAGCCAGCACTGCGACGAGGTCATCCGGACCAAGCGGAACATCCTGGAACCGCAGATTCACGTTAAGGTCGAAATGCGAGAAGACGACGGCAATGGACGCCCAGTTGGTGGGATAGAGGGTATAATGCCACAGGAGGATCGGGAACACGGGTACCAACCGGACGATTGCCTGACGGAAAGCAGTATTATAGCGGATGCCATAACCAGCTTGAACGGGATCGGAGATCTGATGGGGGCAATGGATCAAACGGTGTTTCCTAAGATGGAAGCATCGGTCGCGGCCAATGCAAACAAGGAACACCGCTGCATGGTTTGCAGCCAGGTGTTCCCAGATCGGGAATCGTGGATGATTCACCTGGGAGACCACGCCGAGGACCGACCCTATCAGTGTCTGGAGTGCTTCGCCCAGTTCCGGGAGAAGCGCTCTCTGGCCAGACACATGAAAGCCGTCCACGAGGAGGTGCGGGACCGGAAGTGTCCCTACTGCCCGAAGTCGTTCAAATACAGCCATCACCTGCGATATCACATCCGAACGCACACCGGCGAGCGGCCGTACGTTTGCGACATCTGCCAGGATAGCTTCTCGCAACACATCCAGTGGAAACGGCACCAGGCCAAGCACCAGCAGCGTCCGGATCAGATCCAGGTGGCGCGGACCGGTATCGTCGCGGAGGATTCTTCGATCAAGTGCGAGTTCTGTCCGAGGGTTTTCTCCCGCCTACAGGACTACCGACGACACGCTCCGAGCCACAATGCGGAGAATCTTAATCTGGACAGCCTGGCCAAGCATCAGCTGGCCAACTTGCAGACGTTGCATCAACGTTAGGTTTAGGGCGAATTTTTCTTGACATAGCTGTTAGAAATAAAGCAATCCGAACGGTGTGTTGCATTGGTGATTCTTGCGAAAGAACTCCCTGAACCGAAATTAACCTTTCTGTTCACTGTCAACCTGTCAAAAATCAAACAATACGGCTAACAAGAACAGGATTCCTCCTATTCTGTGAGTCGTATGTCTCTTAGGTCTATTCCGCGAGTCTAGTGAGCTGATTCGCAGAATAGGGTTGATTGTATTCCAAAAGTAAGCAGAGGGAACTGTTGGGACACAGATGGCGGTAGTGTGTCAAACGGAAGGGAATAGACTATGAGCGCCACAGGTGGCGGTACTGCCAACTACGATACTTTTAAATTGTCCGTTAAATGCTTGTTCGATGTACAACTTGCGAGTGTTAAGTCTGTTTGTCTGTGGTTGTGATATTTGAAATAAAACTCAAACAGTATCTTTACGCATATTTATTTAAAAATAAAATCAGTTTGTCAGTTCTCTCCACGCTGCCTACTTCCGCTGGTGCGCGCTCATCATCTCCAGCATGTTTGCGTTCAGCTCGTCCAGATTCATCCGTTGCTTGATGTAGGCCACTTTCTCCCCGTGCACTTGCATCATATGTTTGGCGCATTCGAACTGAAATAGGAACGAATTCTCGCACTGCCAGCATTTCCAGCTTTCCTGCTCCGGTAGATCCAGTGAGCCTTCTTCCGCTTCCATGAGTAGCCCTGTTTCCGGTACGGGTTCCTTCTTCAATTCCGTTTCCATCTTCGGTGCCGGCATCTTTATCAACGCAATGGTCGGTATCTTTGCTGGGAGCGGTACAGCCGGAGGTATCTTCAGCGCCGGTTCTCCACAACCTTCTAGCGGATCTTCCGGTTCCGTTTTGATCAGAACCGATGGTTCGATGGTAATTTCTGGCTGCATCATCGGCAACTGTACTTTCGGAGCAATCTTGCGATATTGTGATACGAGTGGCAAAGGGGCTGGAACCTTTCGAACTGCCGGAGTAACCGGCAGACGTTTCCTGGTAAGCGGAGTAACTGGTGGCGCTGTTTTACGGACCTTCACAGCCACCGTGGCCACAGGTATCTTTCGCGCCGTGAACCGCTGCAAAGCACGATTGTTGCTGCAAACCTGCTGTCGATAGCTGTGGAAACTGTTGATCAGCTGTGCGCACGGCGTACAGACGAAGATCGACTCCTTCGGTCGCGGGATGATCAGTATCCCGGTACAAACGTAGATCTTGTCCAGCATCTCGTCGCGAACCACAATCATCCCGGAACAGAGCGGTTCCAGCTGATCCGTGCTGAAACACAGCCGGCACGAGTCCTGGTTGACTTCGGCGGGAACCGGAGACGCTACCGGTTGCGGTCCCCTGTCCTCGGTTTGAGTGGACTTGTTTGGCGTGATGGCTTTCTCCATAGCCTTCGCCGAACGTTCCTTTCGGCAGCTGTTGCAGAGGCAGAATTGGCCGTGTTTGCTGGGGATTTTTCTCTTGAGGGGTGCAGGTTGATCCTCTTTTCGAATTTTATTAGCTACTTGCCGCAGATCCAGGTCCAGATCGTCGTCATCGTCGTCGTCGTCGTCCATTAGGAAGTCGAAGAACCGGTCACTGGCGCGCTTGAATGAGAGGAGATGGATCGTGAACGTACTGGGATGGACTCTCACGAGATCAGACGCGAAGAAAGACTTCTTAGCATTTTCACCGACAAACCAACATGAAACTTATACTTAAATTTTGCTCGAAAATCTACAACGGCTGATTCAAATGTGCCGCTGTTCGATCTGTCAAAACCATAGGATTTTTTTTTTATCTACACTGAACGAAAACTTCCACAATACTTCGAATGATTATTGCATTGCTCGAGCCCTCTAACAATATGCTTTTGAATTTCGGATAATTGCCTTATGGTTGAATTCGTCATCAGCTGAGGAGCACCCAAATGACTGTCATCCAAATAAAGGATGGTATTTTTTTTTGAAAATTGGCTTTTTGTACGAACGCTTGTATGAACAAGTTTTTCGTTTCGAGATGCGCAATGTCGCCCCAGAAGTACACATGAAATTTATGAGTCAAATGAATAGTATGTGTGGTTACACATGAATTATATGTGTACACATAAAAACTATGTGTCCGACACATAGAGGAAATGGCTATAATGTTGGCCTATGGATCTAAGATTGGGCCCATCGCAAAAAATCTGCTATTTATCAATTTTATCTAGATGAACACGTCATTGGGACAAGAGATGAACTAGCCCCAGGCTAAAAATCTCTATAATAAAGACTAAAAAAAAAAAAAAAAAAACGTCATTGGGACGGTACCAATGGATATTTCAGGCATAACATTTGATAACGTCACAAAAGCATATGTGAACAAACTTTCTAAGGCCCATTACACGCGAACCAAAGTACGCCCACGCAAACCAGTACCACTTCCGGAAAGGTGATAGTTGCTCCTATCTGATGATGTTGTTGGGCCTTAGAAAGTTTGTTTACAAATGCTTTTGTGACGTTATCAAATGTTATGCCTGATTGTTGGTCGCTATTGAATATTTAGTCGATTGCTGAATTTATGCATGGACCCAAATTAGGGGCATTTAGGCCGACATAACATCCATTTCCCCTATATCATTTGTTTATCACATTGCAAAAATTCATGTGCGGGAATAGAAGAACAACTCAAGAGCAAATTTTCATTACGTCGAATGTAACAAAGGTAAACAAAGTCGAGCTATCAGTGTCAATCGATTCTCCTGCTATTACACTATATACTGTCCGAATATAGGACCAAATCCCATTTTTAAATTTATTTGCCAGTCAAATTGCTTTTTGACGTAATCACCTTCCGATCAAAATAGTTTTCGATGTTACTTAAGTCACCCAATTTCTATGGAGATGCCGTTTGACTTAAGTAACAGCGCTGAGAAACCCATGAAAAGTGTACGTTCGTCGTTTCGCTTTCTCATTATTAAAGTGAATAAATCGAACTGTTTGTTGCTAAGATGATTTCGGTAGTCCTAAAATGATGAATGGGCTGCACGTAAGGAGACGTAATTGATAATTCTCCCGAATATCCTGGTAAATACACTTTGACTTAAGTAACAATAGGGGCCACCAAACGACGTATAATAACTTTTGACTCAAAAACCAGTATTTTTTAGCATGAAAGCTAGCGATTTGCATTTGTATGATTAAAACCCTGTTAAATATGTTGAACATTGCTATCACTATGAGATTATATGTGTTTACTTGGAAATAGGAATAACTTTTCGGTCATCAAAACAAAACTTTATTTTTCTCGGATTGTTGCGAATGTTACTTACGACATAATGAAAATTTGCTCTTGAACTATGAAAGTGATGATATGCAATCTTAAAATGCTTTTATTTTGCAAATGGAGCATTTCGACAGTGAGCCTGAATAAGGGCGTATATGCGATGATCGATTTTCTCTTTGCATTGCTACAGCTAAGTGAAACAATTTTCTAGAATTTTTTCAATGCAGAGTTATAACAGGTTGTATTGGCTATCAAAAGCAACAGCAAACGCATCGAGAAACGTTAACTCTAGCGAGTTATTAACAAAAGAGAAAATCGACGAAGAGAATTGATTATCGTGTTTACGCCCTTATGCATGCTCACTGTCGATTTTCACCTATCATTGTTAATCAATTCAGTGTCAATATTTCAAAGGGGCGTAATTGCTTTTGTTACCTCTCCAAAATAACAATGCTAGCTGTAGAGGAAACATTCCTCTACCTGCTGGTGTCATTATTTTTCATGAGTGAGCTTTTATTCGCGAGAAATCGACGGCTAAAGCCATTGTTTACAAATGCAATTACGCCCCTTTGAAATGTTGGCACTGAATTATCTTCATCGATTTTCTTTTTCGCGAATAACCCGACTGCAAATGAATTTCCCATTGAGTGAGTTGTTTCAGTGTTTAACAAAACTGATTGGATAACATTTTCTCTCAAAATCGACTAGCGCACTCTACATTGATGGTCCATCAAAAGAGCCTATTCATAGTAAGGGATTTTTTAAATTATCGGACAAAATGGGCCGAAGGGTCTCACAGTTTTATGAAATTTTGCCACAGGAAGAGGTTATGATTATGTGAACGAAAAACAATTTAAAAAATAAGTGCATTTTCCCCCACAAGGAGGGACACAAAAAAACCTTTTCCAACCGCCAATAACGGAAACCCTATACAAGAACTTACCCGATAATTCTTCCGCTTGTGTGAACCTTTCTTCACTCCGGCGGTCCCCGGAGACGAACCAGCCATCTCGACATCCGTTAACGTTTCTTCGGTGTCCTCCCCGACGCCACTCGCAGCTTTCTCATTCTTCTTCTTCGCTTCTGTTTTAGTTGGACAAGCGACCATAAACGGTGTCTCATTCGGATCCGCTGGTTCATCGCAGGCTTCGTTCAACGTCGGCATCGCGCCGTACTTGAGAGTCGTTTTGGTTCCCGGTACCTTGTAGCAGCTCGGTTCAAAGTGCTGCGAACATATCCACAGCTTCCGAACGCCAATCGGACCGGCCAGCTTGAACTGATGCTCCGCGTAGGCATTCTGCGAGAAGCGAACCCATTCGGCGGCCCTAAAAAGCGAAACGTCCAGATGATTAATTTGAACGCCCCAAAAAGCACAAACACGAAGGGTCTCACTCTCCCACTTCCAACGGAAACCGGTGGCACGTTGTGGTTTCGATATTGACGGGTCCCCTACTGCAGCCGCGAACCGCACAGACCAACATCCTTTTCGGCGGCATGACGCGATTATGAAATTTTTCACAAAAACAAATTTTCAATCAATCTTTTTTTTCACAGCCACTCAAAAACTATGAATGACAGTTGTTCCGGTTTTGACATGACATGATAACATTGACAGGTGGAGTTGACGTTCGTGACATTTGATAAATGTCATTCAGGGTAAGTGACAAATGTTTGAATTTCGACCGTTAACACTGTCGCATGACTGATCATTTCAATGATTCAGATCCGTTGAAGCTAAGTCTGAATTCAAAGCCTACTTTGACGAAATAGTTCTTATATAATAGTAAATCGCATGCTTTATTTTAAAATATACATCAACATTTTTAAGAACTATTTAAAAAAATTACGTTCCCAGTAAACTGACTACCTTGACAACCAGACGTCACTATAGTGGTTGAAAGCTGTCAGCGCTGTCAGAGTAGGTAGGAAACGTCACTCTGCCAATCAAAACAAATCGTTATATATATAGCATTGTAAAACTTTCTAATAAATTTTCTTGAATTAAATGATCTAAAATAGTGAAATGAGTTCCTGTCTGTCCGACCCGCTGGAAGCGGTTAAGATGAGGTATTGTTCAGCTTGTGACAACAGTTCCGCCACGTACGCCGGGAGGTTCATTGGCGTCCCCAACAATCCCGAAACCCGCCACGAATGGCTCGTTCGCATGGGAGTAATAAAACGAACCGATCCGATGCCGAAAAGCAAAGCCTTCTTCATCTGCGATAACCACTTTGACGTAACTATCCCACCATGTACTCACTAATAAAAAAAAAACAATCATCCATAATGTAACTCCCTAATTCTTTCAGAAAGAACATGACTTCTTCCACAAGTCCACCGGAAGTCGGCTCCGTGCGGGGATCCTACCGTGGCAAAACCTCAAAACCGGCTCCTACAGCTACCATGGCTGGGAGAATCCCGTACAAACGGCGCCAGTGCGGCCCTGTCAGTGCGCTTGCTGCATGCGACCGAAAACGCCATCGTTCGCCACTACCGTCACGATCCAAACGGACGACGTCGAATGCAGTGGAGATCAAGCCGGCCGGATGTTCATACCCGAAGTGCACTGCCGACTGTGCCTTCGTGGCGTGCGGGCCACCAGCGGTAATCTACGGCGACTGTTTTGCGAGCACACTCAACAGCCGACCGATCCGGGCCTGATGGAACAGCTCTACGTTACAACCGGGTTGATGTTCCACTGGAACCGGGAACCGAGTGCAATGATTTGTGCCAACTGCGCACAACAGGCCGAGCAGGCCTATCGATTTCGGCTACAATCGAGAAGCAAGCACCGGACTTACCTGGCATCCATGCCGGCGAAGAAGAGAAAGGAGCTGTACCCGGAACATGTGTATCCGAAAAGTTCCAACATCGGAGACGGGACGTGGGAGGAGGGGCTCATCGAAACCAGGGACATCGAACAGATCCATTTGTTTTCGACGGAGCAGGTTCACATTAAGACTGAACCGGATTTGCCACCGCAATCGGTGGAAGGCGGCGTTAGTAAAAGATTGAAACGTACTCCGAGGGCCAACGAACCTCGTCCGATTGGGCAGAAGGAAATCAAATCGGAACCTGGACTGGATGGTGAGCAGATTGTGACCGACAGCAACCTTCTGGCTGAAAATGGGAACCACATTCAGATTGTTGATTTTCAGGAGTTCAATGCCATGATGACCAAGATTAAAACGGAAAAGGGAAGCTAAAAGTCCGATTATGCCTCTTTGTTATTTTAATTCACAAGAGAAAACGTTAAATTAAAATTGGTAGATCGTTATTTTATATCACAGTCCTTAAGGTTCAATTTACTTTGATGCATTTTTTAAAAATTCAAAAGCAGTTTTTTTCGACGCATTATTTTAGATTGCTAAAAGGTCGCGTCATTTTGTGTAAAATATCAAAAGGAATCGAATAGTGTGAGCTTTTTTCAATCTGAAATATTGCGTCGGAAAAAACTGCTTTTGAAATTTTCCAAAAAGCATCAAAGTAAATTGAACCTTAACGATTAAATTTATGTAAAAGGCTGAAAGGTATACAATCCACCCATATTCTCAATCTCGTTCAAAATGTATTTTCCGAACAAAAAATGTGGTTTTGGTAATCATTCAAAATTTGTTTACCTAGCCTCTCAAGGAAGTGGGCACCTGTTTGTAATAGTTGATCATCTAAATAATGATTTGAACATAGATTGAGATATATTTAGTCACAGCTATAAAGTTTTAGAGTCTTTGAAGTTCTTTCATGAAATTTTCGCCGGTGCAGCAAACAGCGAGTTACAATTTCATGAGTAAGGTCGCATCAGTGTCCGTGATGAGTTCTCTAGAAAAATTGAAGTGATAGGAATAGCTTCTATTTGAGACTTCGCATTCTCTCAGACTTACAGTTTTTGAATATTGCAAAATTAGGTAAACTTAATGAATTTTCGAGCGAATTCATTACACAGAACCTCACACGGATCTAAAATTATGAACTTCTTCATATTTCTATAAAATACCTGGAAGTTTTGATTCTTTTATGCAAATCGTGGACTAGGTTAAATTTTTGTAGTGATAGTTTGGTAGCATTTCAAAGTTTAAAATTAAATTCCCCGTGAATCTTCCTCAAAGAAGTATTAGTAAACGTTTAAGAATTTCCATTCACTTATAAGCACAGAGAACAGACGTCCATGCTCGGTCAGAAACTTTTGTAAAGTTAACTGGAAACGTCGCCGTTACGTAGCGCTAGCATCTCCTGATTTCCGCTAAAAATTGTGCACTTTCGGTCAATTTGGCGCTAGTATCGATAAATTTCCTGTTGAAAATTGCAACTTGGCGCTACCAACACTTAGTGTCTAGTGTAAGTTTTGCAACGCCAGTGCCATCATGTTGTCAAAGAGGTTTTTTAAGTGGGGAAGTCGCCGTTAGTGGCGCTTAAGTCGAATAGGAATCTTTACACAAGTTTTTAGATAAATTTTGTTCGAGCCTCAATGTCTGTTCTCTGTGGTTGTAGACAGGCATGGAAAATCATTTGCATTCATTTCATACATTCATTTACATTCATTTGCCTTTAACTTTTTTCATCAACAGCATTCCGCAAAATGATGTATAGAGCTTTTGTAGGTTTTGTTATTAGCTACAAGTTTTGCTGATAACTCAAATCTGTATCTCTTATGCATCACGAACTATAGAGCGGGCAGAACTTGTTACTGTTTTTCAGTGAATGTAACATACATTCACTGAAAAACAGTAGTGGCTTCTGTCCGCTCTGCTTCGTCATGCATAAGAGATACGGGTTTGACTTGCTAACAAAAGTTATAGCTAATAACAAAACCTACAAAAGCTCTATACATCATTTTGCGGAATGCTGTTGAAGAAAAAAGTTAGAGGCAAATGAATGTAAATGAATGCACGAAATGAATGCAAATGATTTTCCATGCCTGGTTGTAGATTACTTGAAGAGGCAACTTCGCCTTATTGGTATTTTGTTCCTCTTGCTACTGCTACTTATGTGGATCAACACCAGGTGCGAGTATCCTTTTCAGCCGACTGAATATTGCGATTTCTGTACCTGCATGATCAGATTATATCATTAAACAACTATGCTGTAAAGGTACTCTCTGCTACGAAACCGGCTACGTTTTAGGCAACTCTCCAGAAGAAGTTCATTAGAGAATCTCATGCAAAAGACTCTACACGGCCACTCGATCGGAACATTGGGAGTCCACTTAGCAAGGGATTTTTTTTTCTCTTGGTTATTGTTTTCTCTTTGGCGTATACAAAATAGTAAGCACTAAAGAGCCTGAATTTATAAAGATACGACATGTCAAAATTAGAACAATCTACCACAATCTACCATCCCTCTCCAACGGGGGAGTTTGGTAAAGAGAGATGAATATTCCGATTCGTATCTTCCTCAAAGTTGTCCTTGCTCGCTTTTTACTCTCTATATACAATGTTCACACCGCCGTACTCTAACGGAACTATCAACTCTATACTTTCATCTCCTCATCTTTCGTATAAAATGACCACTTTAAGTCTGTTATTTGCAACTTGGCATCTTCAACTATATGCCAAGTTGCTTACGTAGAAGAAATCTACATCGTCAAGTTTATGTTATATTTTTTTTTAAATAATAAAGAAAATTCAAGAACACCCAGCTGATTTGTGGATTGCTGAAAAAACATTAAAATAATATTGCTGAAATTTTTACTGATTTTCAGTCAAATGTTGTCATTTCGACAGAAGTTTGAATTGCATATTCAGCAGCATTATTTTGCTGACCGTTCATCAAGTCCAAAATCATCAAATTTAAATTTTTTGTGTATATCACACCAAAAATCTGCAACGAGTTTCAGCCAAATGAATTGCTGAACTGCTTCCAGCAAAAAAATTTCTAGCTGAACAACCAGCAGTCCATAAAAATGCTGGATTAATCTGTTTTTGAAACGTCAAACTCGACCGGCATCGGGGCCATCATTGACTCCTAGCAATTTTTTTTAGAGTCATGAAGTGTTCGACATTCGAATCATCCCATCTTACATCAATTGCATTGTAATCATGGAGTAAGTATTCTTAACTTTAGGTTGACTAAGTTTAAAAGGTTGTTTGAGCTTAAAATAAGGCATGATTTATTTTTTCATCGTTTGTTCAAAAATTGTCTCCTCACATGAGAAAATAAAGCTTTGTACGATGATAATACAGTAACTAGTGATATATAGTGATTTTCAGTAATAATGATGATTATCAAGAATATTATAAACAGTTGAGGGTTACTGTTCTTCCAGCAAAATGATTGGCATTACGCTATGTTGGATAATCATACATCTAGACCAATTATTGAAATAGGCGGAACAATCAAACGTAAATAATGGCTTTAAACGCAAATTTCCCGAGATTCAGGCTGTGTTCCATTTGGTGAATTTTTACTTAAATTTGACAGATGGAAAATTTTCAAATAAACCTGCTATTCCAGCAGACTTATTTCTGACAGACAAGGAATAAATTTTGACAGACGCTTTCTCGAAAATCGGCCGATCAACAACAGAGGGATTTTCGAACATCTTAATTTATTTTCGAAGTGTCAAATCTAAGTGAAAATTTTCCAAATGGAACACAGCCTCAAAATACACCCACGCAAATTAACAAAACCATTCGATAAAGGAAGTGTTCTCTTTCAGCCCCTGCAGAGGACGAAACTGAGAGCGCAAGCGGCAGTCTCCTCGGTGGTCAGATGGGCTGATTCTGTTGGTTCCAGCTTTCCGCCGGCAAGAGTGTGCGCTGCCATATATGTACCACCAGGCATCGCAACAACGGACAGCCCATCATGATTAAAAAAACAAGCGATACCGACCAAAAACACCGTGAGGGTCTTTGGAGTGCTCCTACTGTACGGTGTAGATATTACATGCCTTGCCGCCGAGAAAGCCGTCCAGATTCTGGAACCGGTGTACAATGGCTACGTTCGAACAGTCTCCGGTCTCCTGCCCTCTACCCCGGCCGACGCTGCATGCGTTGAAGCCGGTATCCTACCTTTTCGGCTCGTTTTCACCGCAGCTACTGCTACCAAAGCCGCGGCCTTTCTCGCTAAAACGTCGGGAAACAACGGGACCGTTCTCCTCGACGAGGCGAACCGACTACTCCGCACGGCCGCCGACGTAGATCTCCCTCCACTGGCTAGGGTCCACTGGTACGGAGACAAAAGTTGGCAATCGCACAGAATCAGAATTGACAGCCGAATCAAGGACCGCTTCAGGGCAGGAGACAACTCGCTGGCCTTACACCGGACAGTTGTCGAAACTCTCGGGGCGCACTACCAAGGTTATGAAGTTAGGTACACCGACGGCTCTCTCTCCACGAGCGGAGTGGGAATGGGGGTCTCCGGAGATGGTCTGCTTGTAAGCAGATCGCTCCCGACCTAATGCTCGGTGTTCTCAGCTGAGGCAGTGGCCATTCTCCACGCGGTTAAGTTACCGGCCAACCGGCCGATATTAGTCGTAACTGACTCACACAGCGTGATATTGGCCCTAACAACAGAAACACCGAAGCATCCGTGAATCCAAGCACGCGCCGTCCTACACAGTATTCATGTGGGTACCCGGTTACTGCGGGATCCAAGGGAACGTAATAGCCGACCACCTCGCCGGCTCAGGCCACACCGGACCCAGGTCCACCGGAAATGTACCGCTCCAAGATGTCAAAAAGTGGGTCAAGTGGACGATTCGGAGAGCCTGGGACACCGAGTGGAGGAACAACAGGACACACCATCTTCGGAAGATCAAGGTGACCACCGGAACCTGAAAGGATCGATCAAACCTACCAGAACAGTGAGTGGTGTCAAGGCTGCGCACCGAGAACAGCAGATTCTCCCACAACTTCGGAGGACCTGCGAAACCTGCGGAGTGCCAGCCACTGTGGAGCACATCCTCGCGAACTGCGCCGAGTTGGGAGACCTTCGGGCTGCCTTCGGCTTGGAGTCAATCAGCATTCGGAACCTGTTGGGCGACGAGTCCCCGGCAGCAGCCGCCCTCATCACCTTCCTAAAGGAGGCGAACCTTTACCACAATATCTGAGTGTTTCTTGTTTGTATTTCAGTTTTGTTGGCCCTTTTCTACACCTTTTCATTATAGAAAAATGTACCACAGCCAAGATTGGGAATCTCCTTCTGGGAACCCATTTTTTTTTCTCTTTTTTTCAATGAGATGAACTAGCCATATGGCTAAAAATCGAGG